AACTTATCGTATAACTTCGCGTCTAATCACTTATTATCCTACTATATATAATCGGCTAAGCGGTTGTGTGTGTGTGTGTGTCTGACCGGAAATTCATAACTTCACCCCCTTTGGACCCAGAGCGCTCAAACTTCTAGGATATATAGGGGGCCGGAGGTGAACACTGATGACGGGTGGCGGGAAGTGATAACTACTGATAGGAGCTGATAACGGACGTCGAAATGTTGATGTCACCAATTTCGTTACACCGTTCGCGTTGACAGTGGAGAGTTTGCACTCATGTATGATATGTGGGGTGAGGCGGGGACCAAGAAGTTGAGTGAACGAATGTGGTAGCAACTGATAAGAACTGATAAGGGGCGTCAAAGTGTGGATACCACCAGTTTCGTTGCGGCCCTTGCGGTTACATTGGAACCTTGGCTCTCACATGTGGTATAGGGGATGGGACGGGAACACGGATAGCGGATGATCAAGAAGTGATAACAAGCGATAACGGTTGATAAGGAAGTTAGGATTTTGAGTACTGCTAATTTCGTTGCAGCCTTCGTGGTGACAGTAAATATTAGCTCCTACACGTTGCTGGAGGTTGGGACCGGGACACCGATTGCGAACAGTATGAACTGATAACAAATGACAAGGAATGATAAGAGCGTTTGAATGCAGGTCTCTCCAACTTCGTTGCAATTATCACTGGCAAGCGATCAAGGTGGCGAGGGTTGAATGTAGGTGACAGAAAGTGGTATGAGCGGCAACTGTACTGATAAAAGTAGCGACAGTTGAGCGTGCACTCAATTGAACTAAACCAGGTCCCTAGCACGTGAATATGTTCCATTCCTACCCTTTCATCTAAAGAAGCAAAGAAAGTTGAGCTGCTCAACTTGGACCAATAGCGAATTTCCATTATATTTCCAATTTCCATCATAGCTCGGTTAGATGCTGATTGATTGGTTATATTTCACTTACACACCGATTCTTCAATTGTGGAATTCTATAAACCGCTAAATCACTCGAGCTCGATATCCTTCTATTATATAAACCGCTAACTTGGTGTGTCGGTTTGTATAATAGACAATTCAAAAACATAACTTCTATACCTTTTCTAGAATATTATTAATTGTTTATTATAACTTGCTGTATTGCACATGCAACAGAAGTTGAAGAACATGTAGTAAGTTTTAGTTTTTTAATCTTTTATAATATACACACTCCAATTCTTTTACCTCCCTTCCTTACTGAAGAGCACGGGGGGAGGATATCGGTGTCAGTTTGTTTTCCGTATAAGGGCACGTGCGAAACGGAAGACAAACTACTTCTTTGATAAAAACCCCCTCCAATTAATTTGTTACATTCTTTGTAATAATTTCATTTACATTTATGTATTATGAATGTATGTAATGTATGTATGTATGTATGTATGTATGTATGTATGTATGTATGTATGTATGTATGTATGTATGTATGTATGTATGTATGTATGTATGTATGTATGTATGTATGTATGTATGTATGTATGTATGTATGTATGTATGTATGTATGTATGTATGTATGTATGTATGTATGTATGTATGTATGTATGTATGTATGTATGTATGTATGTATGTATGTATGTATGTGTATGTATGTATGTATGTATGTATGTATGTATGTATCGTCATGTAACTTCGTATAGCTCAGTATGCCCCTATTGTATTGTAACCTTCATGTATTTATGCTACTGATATGTATGTACATGATCATGTATGTAGTGTATCGTATGTATGTGATGTCATGTAGTGTACTGTATTGTATGTATGCTATGTATGTTAATCGCTATGTCATGTAGTGTATGCTATCTGTATGTTGTTGTATGTATCGCCTATTTGCATTTATTTAACTTAATTTATTTATTTGTATGTATGTATGTATGTATGTATGTATGTATGTATGTATGTATGTATGTATGTATGTATGTATGTATGTATGTATGTATGTATGTATGTATGTATGTATGTATGTATGTATGTATGTATGTATGTATGTATGTATGTATGTATGTATGTATGCCTAAATCCGCTACTGTATGCTATGTCTACTGTATCGCTAATGTCTCCACTATGTCAATGTACTCCGCTACTCGCTATGTTGCTACTGTACTGTTACTGATGTAATGTAATGTATGTATGTATTATGTATGCTCCATACGCTCTTATGTATGTTATATTGTACTGTATGTATCGCTATGCTCCTGTCTGTAATGATATCGTTCTATTATCGTATGTATGCCTACTGCCACTCTATTGTATGTATGTATGTATGTATGTATGTATGTATGTATGTATGTATGTATGTATGTATGTATGTATGTATGTATGTATGTATGTATGTATGTATGTATGTATGTATGTATGTATGTATGTATGTATGTATGTATGTATGTATGTATGTATGTATGTATCCTACTGTAGCTAATTCGTACTGTATGTATGTATGTATGTATGTATGTATGTATGTATGTATGTATGTATGTATGTATGTATGTATGTATGTATGTATGTATGTATGTATGTATGTATGTATGTATGTATGTATGTATGTATGTATGTATGTATGTATGTATGTATGTATGTATGTATGTATGTATATAATGTATGCTATACGTATGTATGCTATGTATGTATGTATTCGTTATGTTCGTATAATGTATGCTATACGAAGTTGTTATGTATGTATGTATGTATGTATGTATGTATGTATGTATGTATGTATGTATGTATGTATGTATGTATGTATGTATGTATGTATGTATGTATGTATGTATGTATGTATGTATGTATGTATGTATGTATGTATGTATGTATGTATGTATGTATGTATGTATGTATGTATGTATGTATGTATGTATGTATGTATGTATGTATGTATGTATGTATGTATGTATGTATGTATGTATGTATGTATGTATGTATGTATGTATGTATGTATGTATGTATGTATGTATGTATGTATGTATGTATGTATGTATGTATGTATGTATGTATGTATGTATGTATGTATGTATGTATGTATGTATGTATGTATGTATGTATGTATGTATGTATGTATGTATGTATGTATGTATGTATGTATGTATGTATGTATGTATGTATGTATGTATGTATGTATGTATGTATGTATGTATGTATGTATGTATGTATGTATGTATGTATGTATGTATGTATGTATGTATGTATGTATGTATGTATGTATGTATGTATGTATGTATGTATGTATGTATGTATGTATGTATGTATGTATGTATGTATGTATGTATGTATGTATGTATGTATGTATGTATGTATGTATGTATGTATGTATGTATGTATGTATGTATGTATGTATGTATGTATGTATGTATGTATGTATGTATGTATGTATGTATGTATGTATGTGTGTCCGTCCGCAAAATGAAGTGAGTGAGAAGGAAGCTCATGGATAAACACCGCTAACAAATCGGGTAGCTACTTGAGATATCAATGTTTTGTAGCAGGATAGTTGTGATAACACTCTTAGGGCTATATAAACACCTGCTTAGCACACTTCCGTTCATTCCACATGGTGCTGCAGTGGCAGCTGGAGGGCAGTGGAGGAAGGAGGATGAGGAAGGGAAGCGAAAAATCTACCGTCATATCATGATTGTGTCCCTTCTACTGTATGAAACACCATTGTGTTGCATACGCGTCACTTCCAGGAGGTGTTGGTGTCACAGGAGGAAGGGACCATAGCGGAGGATAGAAAGCTTGCGCAGGAAAGGAAGGTCCCGGCGGTTGACGGGGGACTAATCTGGTCAATGCTAAATGTTTACGAAGTCATGATAAGTATCATTTTCATTCCGCATGCTACTGCGCGCATTACGCGACAATCTTCAGCAAAATTGGACAGCCTTTGAACTTCATGTGACACATCTTCCAAACATCTTACTAGTTTCTCACGTGACCTAATATTCAGCAAGTTGTCCAGTTTCACTAAAGCCTACCATGTGATGCGCGCGGTTGCGTGCGGAGCTAAACTGGTTTGGTTTCATGCGGCCCCTACGTTCTTACTTATATCGTCATTATCGGCCCCTACCACTTTCTGTCCCACAACAAACATGTTCACTTCCCACCCTCTGCTGGGAGGTGCGCTATGGATTTTGTGGAATTTGCGTTTTAGCGCCTCTTATACGCTCTTATAAACCATTTCACTATTTGACCCCCCCCCCCAAATATGTACCCGACCCACACGCATCGTATTCAAGACATAACCCTCCATGGCTGCAGCGAAGCGCACTATGAATTTCGCACAGCGCACTATGAACACACAAACACACCACACACATACGCACACCGCAAATATACTTAACCTCAGCAAATTATATCGTGGGATTGATGTATTTATAATTTTTTGGGTCCCTTTTATAACACGATTTCGGATAGAGCCGAGACATCTGATAAGGTGGAGCATAACTCTGAGATTTATTTCATTTTTAGAAGTGCGAAGATAACCAGTCCGGTATTGGTCCTGCGTTTCTTCGAAAACTCAGGCAAAAACGAGTGCTCGATCTAACTCACAGTGTATGGAAGAAATAACTGAACTCAGTCTATCGTTTGCAAAAATTAGCTTAAGAAATACGTCGAATTCGTCCTCCCAAATCCTTCAAATTCGTTCCATATGAAAACACTCACTTTAACTTGAAGGGCTGCACATATGTATTTTTTGGCTTGATCAATCTCATAGGGTGTTCCGATAACCTTCACAAATGGATCTGAATAATCCAGTCAGAAATTCTCAAAAGAAATTTAGAAGGATAGAAGAGACAATAACCTTTCTTCGTTTTCGCACCAATTTTCAACTGTGACGGCCAACACACGTCAGCACCTGAGCAAGATTTCACCTGTAATATAAATTGCTGACTGTTTCACAAAAGAGAAACATTGTCGGAACCTTTCCTTCTGCTTCACTTTCTAATTGCAAAATTAAATCAGTTAGGTTCTATACATGTTCACCAACTATTTTCTATTCAAACCTTGTTGAAAAAATCTTCGGCATCTGCAAATATGAAGTCCTTGTGGTTTGTAGGAGCACCTGAAACTCTCCACTATTTTTTCTTTTCCTTGTGTGAGAATTATTCGAATGTTGGCTATCCTTAAGGTCCACATAAAGAACTCAACTATATTAATCCCTTAATCTGGTTGATTGAAACATGCAAGCACAGAGCGGATACTCATCTCCACTGGGGATCAACGTCTGCTGAGAAGGGTATACAGTAGCGGTCAAAAGTTTGGAAACTTTTTTATTTTGATCTAGCGCGGCCGACACACAACGAAATTGTCCCAAATTTAGATATTCCATACAAAATCAAGTTCAGAATACGACGGGAAGAATAATTTCCAAAAACCTATAATCATATTTGAGAAATAAGATTTTTTTCAAGTAATGGCGCGTCAAAAGTTTGGAAACTTTTTGTTTCCCTCATCATTATGATTCCTACTCTTCAATGTTCACTTGTTTCTGTTAATTTTAGTTCAACCATTGAGCAATGTGTAATTTCAAAATGAATTCATATGCAAAGGAAGCAGTTTTTCCATGGGAGGTCCTTTTTTAAACCCTACAATCCGGAATACGAAATTGAAATTGTTTCTTAGTAGTTCAGTCTCTACGGAAGCAATATTATCGAATGTTTCTAGCGTTATTGGAGTCGAGTAAGCATAAGAAGAATGATCATTCACAAAAAGTATCCTCACAAGAAAATTGGCCCTCCTCAAATACTTCGAAGGGTGGTTGGCACGTCCCGTACCCCCGATATGCCCAACTAAGAGACGACTTTTTCTGGTTTGAACCTAATCATATGAAAGTCCAAGTGCAGCCAACATCGGCCGCGACCTGGTGAATATTACGGATGATATCCCAACAAGAAGCCATTGTTGGGCTTCAAGAGCAGGATGGCCCAACTGGCTTCCGCACACTAACGGCTAACATGGACCGAAGGCGAGAGGTGAAACTTTGTCCTCAGCGACGAATGAGATTTCTATCTTCCTAGAAATAATGTTGTGGACCCTGTGAAGTGTTTTGTCAAATGGGAACCTCATTTTGAGTATAAGATTCCAACAGTCAGAAATAGTGGAAGTATTGTCATGGATGAAGATGTGTCCGACCATTCGGCGATTCCCCAGTTCTAGGTATCCAGCGAAATGTGGGTTGGGCTAAGTACAAGTATAGTCTGTAGAATACAATGCTTCCCTTCGATAGTCAGAACTAGCCGGAAAAGATGGGTTTTCTATCGCGGAAATGACCCAATGCAGGCCTACCTCCTCACTGCCGCCTTCCTAAACCCAGAAAAAGAAGCTGTTATGAAGCGACCAAGTCAAGATCTAAAGTCTAATTGAGTTCTACATCCCACGGAAGAACTGGCATGTCGCTCAACCCACATTCCAGTTAAGAATCCCACCAAACAATGTGATTTAGTTCACAGTGTGTAGGGTTCGACTTAAAAGTCCTAAAATTATTTTATAATCAACTCCATGTCAATAAAAACGACGCTAACATAGAAATTCAAAGCTACTCATCGAATAACTAATTTATCATGTGGATTTGAGAGCTATTTTGCCGAATTCGCTTTGGAATTCGGAAGTTTCCAAACTTTTGACGCGCCATTTCTTATAAAAATTCGTATTTTTCAAATGCGATTTCAGTTTTCAAAAAATTATGTTACCCATCGTAATCTACACTTGATTCTGAATATAATATTCGAATTTGGGGCATCGGCTAGATCAAAAATAAAAAAGTTTCCAAGCTTTTGACCGCTACTGTATGTGTCTGAGTTGTTTTGTTGCTATTGAATTCCCTTGCGATCTTCTGATCCTTAATCTCTTGATCCTCTTGATCCATTTTTACTTATTATTTCAAGGATTTTGCTGTCACATCACACATCATTCTTCTTTCACACCAACATTTATTTATTTATTTTTGTTTTATTTATTTACGCAATTTGCGATACTCCCTTTTCCCTAGCGCTACCCGCGCAGTTGCAGTGTCGGCTGCTCCTGTTAGCCGCCACCACTACACTGTCCTGTCCAAGACATCTTCTGCCGTGGCCCTGATCTTAACACAATGGCGACCAAGGAGTTTTTGGGTGTTCCCGAAAATTGCGTCCTAATGCTGAAACGCTTCCATACGGTGTACATACCAAATCAATGAGAACACAATGCGGAAACTGCTGAAACATCATTTGTCTCGTACAAATGCTTAATGGCTGCAAACCAAGCAAAAATCTCCCCGTCCCGCAAAGGTGAAACTTCGGAACGCTCTCGGAAAATTCCAATTTTCCACTGTAGAATCCACAAATGAGGTTGAACACAAATCTCTTTTTTGCCAATTGTTGTATCATTGAGCTAGCTAAATAGCATACAAAAAGGCAGCTTTCTACATCAAGAAAGAACAACCTTATCACTGAAGAAGCAATTCCAAGCAACCCTTCTGTAAAACTTTCACTGTGAAAGATGTTCAAAGAACGTGGCCATTACAAGTTTGACAACGTATTCCGGGTTATAGCACCGCTCAAAATTTGGAATATGCGCAAAGGAATAAAATTCAAGGGGTGTCGCCCGGCATCGGGCGACATTGTTGCCAACGTGTTAATGAAGTCTTACTTGATGATATCCCTCCGCCAACTCTTTGGGACCCCTCGGAGTTGCTTGCCCTCGACCTCGAACTTTATAGCTGTTCTCATAGGATGATCTGTGGCATCCTTTGCAGGGGTCCATACCATCTCAGTCGTTGTTCCCGCACCTTCAGTTGAGGAGGGGCAGTCAGCACCATCAACCGAAGTTATCGCCTCTCCAGTCGCACCGAACTGTAGGCTCATCAGCGAAGCGAAACTGCTTTTTATAGAGGCCTGCACTCGCATATAACATTGCCTTACCCCTCTCCCGTACAACTCCTCTTTGAGGGTTCTGGAGCAGAAGATTTCAATGGATTCCCTCCATTTCAACTATGCAGCGCTATCCGAGCCTTCCCTGTGATTCTCACTACCTACTTCTGCCTGCTTGCTCGTTACTTTTCATGTATTTCACGACGATTCGTCAGAGATCGAATGGCCATTTTTTATAAGTACCTGAAGGCCGTCCAAGCCAGATTGCACGAAAGATAAAGTAAAGGATAGGTAGACACACTTCCGTTGGTTAAGGTATATCACTCGTGCAGTCCGATTGGGCTCTGAGGTGGCTATTGGCTTCTCCCATTGAAATACGGTCCAAACAGTAGCTATACTCTGTGTAGCACCCTGCTACACTTTGCGGTGGTAAAAGGTAGTTTATCTTTCAAATTTTGGTTTGCGTTTCTGACAGAACGTCAGAAACGCTAGAGCGGAGGACGCGTTTGGTTGTGCTCGTAAGTTTTGAGCCATTTTCAGGCCTTGAAAACGACGAGTCCGTCGAAACGTTGGACCAGAATAAAGATTACCACCTAAAAACCTCGAGGCAGATGTAAAAACACAAGTAGCTATCCTATTACTTCTAACCGGGGTCAACCGAGGCGTTGATACGCCCCTTCCCCTCCCCCCTCCCTCCCCCTCTGAGACCGAAATCCATGAAACTACCCTCTTTACAGGCAGAACTATGGAAAGGTTGTTTAAGCACTCCAAAAAAACCGTTCAAATCCGAAATGTGAGTATAGCAGACAAAACTAGAAGATTTTCTCTATCAAACGGTTGCTAAAGCAGCTTTATACGTCCAGTATTAAAAAATGGCCACGTTGAGGATTTTTGCAAAATTAACGAGGAAAATTCGTGATGAGTGCGAGTTTTTACGCTTTCCAAAGCCATAACTCCGTTCAAACTCATCCAATCTGAAAAGTTAATACGTCATCATAAACTAGAAGATTTGCTCTATTCAAAGGTTACTAGAACTGCTAAATACGTCCACTATTTAAAAAATGGCCACGTTGAGGATTTTTGCCCGAGTACCGCCGAAAGGTACTTTTTCGCTACATTAGCACTATTTCAACGACTATAGCTCCTTTCAGGGCGATTACATACTGAAGTAGGAGCAGATTCAAAATCTCGTGCTTTTCTCTTCTGAAAAGTGTAAAATTGTTCGGCGTAACTTAACTTTAACGATTACATGCTTAGCGTTCTTTGTTGAATAGTGTACTCCTCCCTGTAATTTCACATGAACCCTTTCAGAATCCTCTTGATTTTTCCTGAATTGAGATTCTTTCTCCAAGAGCCGTAGTTGAAGCGCGCGCAACAACTGGGCCCACTCTGGGATGCGCCGTGTGCTTCACATCTCTTCAGATTCGAGGTTTCATGTGAAAGACAAGCTATTTTAAGTGTCTGAAGGTCCAAACACTTGACGAAACTGTCTCTTGAGCGGATGATTGACCTCATTTCTTGTGAGCTCAGGCCTCCTTTACCATTTTCTACCTATATGACTTTCATTTAGACAAGCAGGCCAACTTTGCGACATGAAGAAACAAACAAACAAATCATAAACACATGAGCTCACCTTAAATTCAAATTTTACCCACCGGTTATCATAGCTTCTAGTCGCCGCCGATCAACCTGGATTTTTTGTTCGTATCGGCCATCCTGCAGCGGGATTACCTCGTTGGGTAACATTCTTCAAAATACGTATGATATTTGCAACAGCACTGGTATATTCTTCTGCAATTGCTTTATTAACATGAAATCAAAAACTCGAAACCCGTAATCCGACAACGATAGAGACTTGAAAGAGCGAAAGAGGTCTAAACTTCAAGGCTTTCAGTAAGAGTGTTTCATTCTCAACGATAAAATCATTGTTACCCTGCCCTAAACTGTATCCACCGCGTCAAATAGTGGTACAGTCACCTATAGAAACTCATAAGTCAAACATCCGAAAATTGTATAGTTATAATAGATTGTATATCAGACTGCAATGTATCCAAGCATTAATGCTGAATTCCGGATTAACGAAGTCAACAATTCCTATGCTCATTTATTCAGAAGAATTGCTTTTGTCTCACATTGATACAGCCACATATTTCTCAGTCGTATTTCATTTTCGTTCCACAAAAAATTCGTATATAGAATTGATACAATTAAGGAAAGGGGAAAGCATCCGATTTGAGGAAGGCATCCGATTTCACAGAGCCATGCTTGGATCGAGTTCCTTTCAACCTGACCTCCTCAGGGAAACTGTTTGAGATCTGCTAGTAACCTAAAGGAATCTTGCGCGGAAAATTCTTGCACTCTTTCCTAACATGAATATGTCAGTTGTGATCACTGGAAATAGCACACAAAGTTTCACGCATGAAGATTCGGTTTCTGAAGAGAAACAAACGTACAAAAACTACACGTTATGGACCATCGAAGGACCAGGAGGCAGAGCCAGGCGAGGCATGGAAAGAAGACGGCGTTTGGCCGGCTACGTACCAGGCGACGCAATGAGAGAATCGGGTTAAAGCGCGCGATTTCGGAGAGTGGAGACAAATCGATCGATGGAATAGGATGGAGTAGAAGTGTAAGATGTGAATGCAACGAAGCAGAAGGCCAGAAAGAGCTTCTAGTGAATGCACTCCAAGAACCAAGTTTGAGCATCCCCGTCGCCAGCATTCGTGAAAGACGTCCGTGGGCAATTCGAACGCGTAGCAGCCTTTTCGAGTTTTCGAATTTCTAATCAAAACGAAAGCAATACTTCAGTTCTTTTCACTATTATCGTGGATAATGAGTCTCAAGCCAGTGATTTATGGCTGAAATAGAATCATGATTTTTCCGCGCAAGATTCCTTTAAGAAATTATCCTCACTTCCAAAATCTGAAAATTCTGTTTCTCACACGAAATATTTGCAGGAATAGTTGTTTTGTAAAAAAAAAGTGAATTTAATCAGAGTGGAGCTGGATCACCTTCTTTCTCTCATGCCTTGACTCCCTCTGCCTTTCTCTTTACGTTTTCTGCTTCAGATGAAATTGTTAAAAGGATAAAAGCATTGCTCCTAGTCGCAAGGGAGTACACGTTACCGGTATCAATTTGCGACCGTACCAGGTGAATTGTTGGAAGTTTTTTCGTTTCCACTCCTTTTGTGTCGATCGATTGTGTGGCTATTTTGTTTGTGTTGATCTGGCCACCATCGATCTGTCAGTCATGGATACGCCTGTGTCGAGTATTCTTAAGAGTACTAAGCGGCCGAGGGTTGCGACTCCAGATGGACAGCTCACCTCACCGGACGTTGTGGATTTGATCAAACAAGTGAACGAGTCGAAGACAATCCCGGAGTGCGTCAAAAAACTGCTGTTATCAATATCAAGTCAGTTGAGCGCAGTGATTCATGAGAACATTCTTCTTCGTAAGAGTCTCGAGTCCTACAAGGAATTGGACAGGGAAAACAAAGAACTTAGAGAACGGTTGCGTTTCTACGAGGAAAAGGAAGTAGCATGTGAAAAATCTTCCAATTGTGTTTCTTCTGTTAGTAAACCTATGTCGTATGAAGATATAGAAAGGAGAAGATCTATTATTATCAGTGGTATTCCTGAGCTTAATTCGACTAGCTCCTTTGATAAAATGCAGTATGATTTCATGAGTGTTGCTAATATTTTGGTTCATCTTGATGTTAGTTGTCTTCCTGTCACCGTTTACAGACTAGGTAAAGTGACTCCTGGTAAAAATAGACTGATCAAAGTGGTCTTACCGTGCTCGAAATTTCAAAAGTTAGCTGTGAGGCGAGCTCCCCGTCTCCGCAGCTTTCCTGGGAAAGGGGTTTTCCTTAGGGAATCCCTTTCAATTGAGGAAAGGATACGGAGACGGGAGAGCCGCTTAGCCGCTCGTCCTATGTCGATTGATAATTCGCCTAATTCTGTCCACCATTCCAATTCTGTTAATGTTACTACGACTTCTCCACTTCAATCGGTTAATTGTATTGAATCAAATCGATCAAATGATGTTGATGGAAATAAGGGAAACTAGTGAATGCTCCGCGGCTATGTGACCAGCCATCCAAAGTAGGATTTCGATATCGATTTTCCCCATCTTCTCCATCTAATACGCTTTATCATCGCGGGGTTACGCAGTGTTTTCTAACTAATATACGTCTGTCTTTCCGATATCTCTTATCCAAAACTGAATACGGCATTATAGCGCTATCAGAAACCTGGTAAATAGTAGAGTTGATGCTTCGAGTTTGTTTGGTGACTTAGCCATTAATTATGAGGTTTTCAGGTGTGATCGTCGGCGGAAGAGGGGTGGGGGTGTGGCCTTACTTGTAAATCACGCCTTCTGCCCTGTGCTTGTTTTTAGTGAATCTATTCCTAGTGGGTATGAGGTAGTCGCAGTGGATTTACATGCAAACGATGTTAAAGTGAGAGTGATTCTTTGTTACAGGACCCCTAGTTGTGCCGTGGATAAAACGGAAACGTTGGTCAAGTGCATTAGCGATCTTTCAGTTGGTAGCAATGCTTCACTGCTTATGGGAGACTTTAATATGCCGGATATCGACTGGTTGAATTTCAACCATCAAATTTCTGGTGCTTGTCAAAGGTTTTTGGATATGGTAAGGAGTCATGGTTTTGAACAATACGTAAAGAAGGGGACAAGATGTACAAAGATTTTGGATCTCCTTTTTTGTAATGACAAGTCACTTATTGGGGGGGTAAAGGTGGAGCCTCCATTAGGTACTAGTGACCATGCTGCCATTCTGTTTGAACTAAATATTCGTGCCCAGAAGAGAAAATTTGTCATTATACGCGATTACAAGCAAGCTGATTATAAGAAAATCTCAGCTTTCCTAGATTCTGTGGATTGGTATGGCTCCTTCACCGGGCTCGGCGTGAACGACATGTATGAAATGTTTCTTTTTGTGTTGCAGCAGGCCATAGACATGTATGTTCCCATACGGAAGATTAGGTTCCACAAGGCTAATGTCCCGGCGTTTCTAAATTCTCTTTATGAGGAAAAGGCCAAATTATACAAACAAGCGGTTTTGTCTGGTTGTTCCATGGATTGGGATTGTTATAAAACCTCAGCAAAAAAGTTTGAAAGTAAAATGTATAAGTACAGCTGTTTGGTTGAAAAGGGTATTATCGAAAGCAGGAATAAATTCGCGTTATACAAGTATATCTCATCCAAATCTAAGCCTTGTCAGAGGTTACCGGTCTTGCTCAGACCGTGTGGGTCTCCAGTGGTATCGGATTTTGAAAGGGCGGAATGTTTTTCTGAGGTGTTTGAAAAGGTATTCCGTAGTGACAGTGGAAGCTTGGATATGAACTCGGATTTGATAGGAGCTTTCCCTCCAATGCAAGACTCTCTGTGGTTTAGTGAGGAAGAAATTTTCGAGACCCTCTCTAAGTTTAAATCTCGCTCATCGGCACTCCAGACTGTATTCCCTTCAGATTTGTCAAGGAAGTTTTGGCCTCTATTGTTGGCCCACTGAAGTTCATTTTTAACTTGAGTCTATTCCGAGCTGAAGTACCTGAGCGATGGAAGAGGTCTTTTGTAACTCCTATTCCGAAAAAGCCTCCGCTCAGTAATCCAAATAATTATAGACCGGTCTGTATCACGTCAGTATTTTGCCGGGTGTTTGAGAAAGTAGTTAAGCGGGTTATTGTGAAACACTTAGAAAGGCACGGCATATTGCCTGATAGTCAATACGGCTTCAGGAAAGGCAAATCAACTGTCACGCAACTGATAGAAGCCATGAACGATTGGACAGCCGCCTTGGATGCTAAAAAAGACGTTGACGTCATATATTTTGATTTTTCTAAAGCTTTCGACAGAGTCAACCACTCCAAGCTCCTTATCAAACTAAAGCACGTTGGAATTCATCCTAGAATAATTTCCTGGATTGAATCTTTTTTACTTAACCGTTCGTTCCAAGTTCGCGTGAGAGAGACTTTTTCTTGTCCTAGAGCAGCTCCAAGCGGTGTCCCGCAGGGAGGGGTTCTCTCACCTGTGCTTTTCTGCATATACACCTATGACCTTCCGTATGTCGTTGAGGAACTAGGTGTGAACTGCAAGCTTTTTGCTGATGATATGAAGATTTACAAGTCTGTAATAGGGGAGGAGGATTCTGCCAGGATCCAATTGGCAATTGAAGCGGTTGTTAGTTGGTCTAAATTCTGGGCCCTACCCTTAGCTCCTGAAAAATCTTCAGTTCTTCATTTGGGAAACTCGAACGTAGGTAGCACTTATTATGTTGGTGAGTGCGAGCTCAAAAAGGTCAAGGAGATTAGAGATCTGGGTTTTATTATTGATAATAAATTGTCATTTGATTCTCATTGCAGGACAATAGCTAACAGAGCTCAAACCAGGCTCTTTCAGCTCCTCAGAAGCTTGTACACTAAGGACCCCGGTATCCTTATTAGGGCCTTCAAGGTGTACGTTCGCCCTATTTTGGAGTATGGTACTGTCGTCTTCTTCCCTCACTCGAAAAAATTGATTTCACTTCTTGAGGCGGTTCAAAACAGCTTTACGAGGAAGGTTTTAACTCGAACATTGGGCTTTAACTATTACGACATACCTAAGGGTCTTGTTAGGAATAAGATGCTTGGTCTTGAATCCCTCCTCTGTAGAAGGAAAATATTGGATCTGGTTACTGTTTATAAAATCATCACAGGCAGGATGCTGATAGAGAGTAAGGGCTCCTTCGT